GCATCGCAAAGAAAGGGAAGAAAAACGAAGCACGGTGTCTCGCATTTTCTGCCTTCCTTCTGAGAGCAACGAGTAGGAGGAGCGAGCGGGCGAACAAGAAGGCAAGAGCAGGCAGGAGTAAAAGGAAACGAGACCACGTCGTACCTGTCATCGTGCAGCCGCTTGAGGTCGGTCATCTCGCGCTCGAACTTGAATTTTGACACCTCACAGAGCAGGGCGTCCCGCTCGCCGACCACCTCGGCAAGCTCGCGCTGCAGCCTCTCGATCTCGGCGTATTGGCGGCTGATGAGCTGGTTCTTCTCCTCGAGGATGCTCTCGACGTCCGGATCCAGGAGGGCGTCCGCCGGCGGCGCCGTCTCGCCGCCGACACTGCCGCCGAGTATCGCGCTCATGCCGCGTTTGTTTACCTCCGCGTTCTCACGTTCTCCCGCGCGCTCCGCTTACGAACGTCGCGCGAACGCCGATTCCACCCCACGTCGGGGAGACGAGCGACGTCGACGTCGACGTCGTCGCCGTCGCCGTCGCCGTCGTCGTCACGATTAGCGCGAGAGATCGCGCGCCCGATTCACGACGGACGGCCGCGAGTCCGCGTCACCATCAGCATATCTCGCGGTCGAAACGGCACAATCAAACGAACGTCACTGTGCAACGCGCGAGACCGAAGCGAGGCACGCACGCACGCGATGCGACAGCCCCTCACCGCACACTCGCCATATTGCGCGAGCGAAGCGGCGGCGACCGCGTTCCTCGCAGTCGGACCGCGTCAGGCTCGATTCCACCGATCCGCCGTGTCAGTTGTCACTACGCGTGCGCGCGTCGTCGATTAACTGACACGCGTGGCGCCATCGTGTGTCACTGTGAAGGATGTACCATGACCGAATTAAATCGAATGTATCTGGGAATCCGTCGTGTATCATCGATATCTAAAATGAAAATGAAAACGAAAATGAAAATGACAAAAGTGAACATTCGCTTGATTGTACAAGTTTTATTATAATGAAAATCTCGAGATATTTCACGTGAAATCATTCGATAAGAAATTTTTGTGTCGAATTATGCCAGTTCGTACGTCGAATGTCTATATTTGATATATATTTCAATTGCCATATTTATAGTGCTGTTGGAAGATTCATTTATTTTCAAAGTCTAAAGCGGCATCTACAATGAGATTTTAAGGCGTAAGACAAGAAATTGGCCAATCATAACCGATTTATAGAAGAATAATCGATTGTGGTTGGCCAATTTCTTAAGTTTTACATCTAAAAGTCTCATTGTAGACGACGTTTAATTTAAATTTCTACAAACGCTGCATGCTGTATGGTGTATTCCCAGTAATTTACTAGGTCGCATGAAAATTATTTTTATACGTTTTTATTTTTGGAAAATAAAGGATAGAAAATAGAACGCATCTACTGTCTCTCTTCATCTAAAGGAAAAGGCGTATCCAGCAGTATAAGATCTATAGGCCATGTGACGTAGGCTTTATTTGAGGAATTCTTCGTTAACAGAAACGACAAATGTGATTGGTCAATTCCAATGGGATAATCGGCCGATTAAGGTTAATCGGAGTTGGTGAAATAGGCCCCTAGGGTGGGTATCCCCCTCCAATATCAGGGGACCACCATGGTTCGCAGATAACCTTAAAAGTACGGAAACGTGACCGCGACAAGGCGACCGCGTGATAATCACGTTTGGATTTGTCAGATTGATAATTGAAACATCCAAAACGTGCGTGCGAGCGCTTAATCTCCTCGTTTCCCAAGAGACCGGGAAGGAAGTATGCGAGTAACTACGGGTATTTTCGAACTACAACCGCGATTTTCGACTTGAGAATGCTCGCGGATGCGCGCGTACTCGGATGTTTTCCTCGCAAGTTTTCCTCGAGTTTTATCAAAATTCTGGCAGTGCATCTTCCCCATTGTTACAGGAAGCCGCGAGCCGTCCAATAACGCGTCGTAACGCGTTGCTCCTACGTGGTGAATTCAAACGTCGCTTGTTTTTCAACTAAATCCACATGGCACATGCGGCGGTATTGATAGGTTATACACGCTTTCCAATATCCGCAAGAGAAATTGATCGCGCGCATTGAAAGATATTTATATTTTTCCTTTTCTCAATCACTTTAACCTTTCACGCTTTTTTTCATCGAGCGTTTTGATTAGGCGAATTTTTTTATTATTTGAGATATCGCTGGGCGAATAACGCCCGTGTTTTCTTCGTTATATTTTGAAGGTTTTTGTATTTTTATATATTGATTTTAAAGTACTTCGATACTTTATTAGCATAGAAGCGAGAGTAATTTTGAATAAAATAAATTTTTTATAATAGTTATGGGTTAACAGATAAAATTATTATCTGCAGCATAATAAGTTATTCCATTATATATGCATGGAAGATTGTGTCATCTACATTTGAAGATGGATTGTGACGACAAAAAATTGATGAATATTAATTTGCAATTACACCATGTGTATATATCTCAAATTCAGTGTTTGTGTCGTGTCTCTGCTATACAAGATACTGGCAACTAATGCCTTGCAAATTTTATTGTAACAGTTTTAAGAAATTAGTGCCTCTCCTTGGAAAGATCCCGAGCACATTTCTACAAGCAAGAAACCACATTTAGCTCAAGCCACTGCGAATCATGACTGAGATTAACATAGATAGTTTACGAAACCTCATCACGCACTTTGCCAAGAATACTTATAGGACCAAGGATGTGGATGTTACAGTAATGATCAATTAGTAAATATATTATTATACCAATATTCTGTATTTTGTAATCGTATATATTTTTAACAGAATCAGGAAATTATGCAGAGGTGTATGCTGCTTGCTGCCTTTGATTACGAATATTCGATAATTGACAACAGTGGGGGTGATCTTTGTGCGCATTATCCTAGCTATCTTATAATATTAGAACACGACAAAATTCGAAATTCTTCAAAGAACTATGAAATGCCACTGCTGACATCATCGTGCGTAATGGAAAATACATATGAGAGTATATATTTAAGGAGTAAACTCTTTAAACTGATGGCACAGTCAAGATTTGCCAGATGTCGTTCAAGATTTCCTGTGCCAGTGATACTTTATAAAGATAGACATGTATGCAGATCCTCGACATTATCTAGTGGCCCAGAAATGTTTGGGAGAGCAGGATTAGATTACTTGCTATCTAGTGTATCTAGCGGCAACACCAGTTCAGCACAACCAGTTACACAGGAAGAGGAAAGTCTACTAAAGGAAGAAGAACCGCATGCTCTAACTACTAACTTGAAAAATAAAGTGAGATATTATGATATAGAACTTCTCAAGACTTTCAATGTAGGAACCATCGTAGACTTCATGGTGGAAAAGAAGAAAGTTAAATATGGAATGACGTAAGAATGAATAAGTACTCTTCTTGTATTTGTATATGTCATAAAGCAAATATTTATAGACAGCTAGATATTATTAAATTTTATTTGAAAACATTTATAATCACAAAAAATATTAGCGATATAATTGAAATAAGAACAAAGAATAAAATGGCTCTACAGTAAAATTATTTATTTTAATAAATAAAGTCGAGTGTGAAGATTATAGTTTGTGATAATGTTTAGGATGAAGCATATATAGCTTTTCCAGAAGAAAACTGCATATGTAGACAATAGCTATTCCAATAAGCAGATGTGTCCATCTTCACAAACACAGTAAAGTTCCATAATGATAGTTTTTAGTATGAGCAGTCTGTTTTATTCTATGAATCCACTTTTAGAGGCCCTTAAACAGAGCTCTTTTGTTCGGTACTCAGCGTAACTTCGTCGGAGAAGGTAGACCAAGAGAGGAGGTACAGCAACTTTAACCTCATTTCACTGCCATATCCTGGATGTGAATTCTTCAAGGAATTTAGAGACCAAGATTATCGATCAAAGGATTTAGTATTTAACTGGTGTCAGAATTACATAGACGCGCCAATATGTGTACCTGAAGACTCAATCTCCAGTCAATTACGAATCAACTGGGATCAGTATACAGAATGGAATCTAGTCAAATTAACGCAGAACTATTTAAGATTAATACTGAGATATCTGAGCGATAGTAATAATGGACTACTGATTCACTGTATCTCAGGTACATGAATATATTTTCTATTAAATTTGCTAAAATAAATATGTAATGAGATTTACAATATGTTATTTACAGGTTGGGACCGCACTCCGCTATTTATTTCGTTATTAAGAATTAGTTTGTGGGCTGATGGAGTAATTCATACAACATTAGATTCATATCAGTTACTTTATTATACTATCGCCTATGATTGGATGTTATTTGGACATGATCTAGCAGACCGGCTCAATAAAGGAGAAGAGATACTTTTCTTTTGTTTTGATTTCTTAAAATATATTGAAAGCGAACATTTTAGTATACACAAATGTTATGAAAAAACATCGAGACATAACGAACCGGAAACTTTTACGATTGATAGTGATTCTTTTGAAATCATTACAACATCTAGTTTCAGCCCAAAGAATAGTTCATCTAGTTCTATTGAGCAAAACAGTGTAGATGGTGATTCATCACCAGCTGTATTTTTGCCTGATTCCTTGGATAATCAAGATGACTCACGAAATAATGTGTATGATTATTTTAATTATCTATTTTTGAGAGAATATGAATTGAGAAAATTGTAATACTTTCACATTTGTTATACATTTTGTCACATTATTTCTAACATAAATTTATGTTAAAATTATATATAAAAATTTATATATAATTTATATATAATGTTGTAGGAATTTTGCACATGGAACACTTAATGCATCTCCAAATAAAGAAGGCATCGCTGTGCAAGAATCGCGTCCATCCTTGTCTGCAAATCGTACATCTCCGATTGGTGTTCCCATACCTCGAAATTCACATATTCGACAACGTAACGATTCAACGTCTTCGGGCGATTCGTGGCAACTGGTAACCGGAACTGGCAGTTTATGCGGTTCCACATCTGCTAATGCTTCACACTTGGACAACGCATCAGCGCCTGATTCAGATTGCAAGCCATCATGCGCTACTTGCTGCAGGATTCGACGCAAATCACAAGAACGCAGTGCAAATGTAAATGATGAAATTTGTGTAATGCATACACAGTGAGTCTCTTGAATATAAATTTCTTAGTTAAGCCATATTTTCTTTTCTCTTATAAGATTCGCCATTTATATCAAAAATTTTATTTTAGACGTAGAGAACGCTTGCATTGTCTTCGAAATATATTTTATAAAGCTTACGGACCTCACGGATTTCGACTGAAAGACGAGTCAGGTGGCATCAGCCAATATATTGGAAACATTGTTGGAATGACTTCCACTCAACGCACATCCTAGTGACAAATATCATTGAGGGACTTTCCAAGAACATGAATCTATAGCCATTCTTCTGTTATTTTAAGGTCATCCAAATATTTTTTTTTTCTTATTGAATTTTCTGTTGATTCCTATTTTTCTATGGTACGTGTGTGCGTGTATGTATGTATGTATGTGTGTGTGCGCGCGCGCGCGCGCGCGTGCGGTGTGTGTGTGTGTGTGTGTGTGTGTGTGTGTGTGTGAGCGACAAGACACGATATATATACATACACAGATAAAATAGGTATATCTTCAATGATCTTCAACAGGGTCATGACCCTGAATAACAATAAAAAAATTTTAAATTTTTTCTCAATTTTAAAAAGTTATTAATATTAATAACATTTAAGTATTAAAAAGTTATTAATATTAATACAATTAAATTATTCATTTTCATGTTAAAATTGATTTTGATTAAATTAGGTTCTTCTTCGAGATGAAAACTTAACATTCACTGCCTAGACATTTACTTAAATGTACAAATAATATAAAGTTTAAATTACAGCATCATATATTTTGTCAATTTTATATTAATTTAATAATTATTAACAATTTTTTAGTAAACAATCTTTTATCATGATTAATAATATACATCATTGGAAGGAGCCTTCTCTTATTGGTATATTTGTCGACCTTAGAATAATAGAAATCGACTGTATTGTTAGTAATACTTTTATCTAATTGATAATTTTATAAATGAGTTTATAGCATGAAAATAAGAAGATTGTATATTACTGTTTTTCTCAAAAAGGGACTGTTATATAGAATATGTATATGCAAAAAAAATTAAATAAAAACTTGATATTTTTGTATATGTTTACATAGGTAAATATATTATTATCACATTTTCGTCTTTTTGTATAAAATTATTACTAATTTGTACTAATTGATCATTAATATCTTCATCAAGTTGCTAAAAGAGCCTTTTTAATAAAAAATTTTAATCCAACTTTAATTAAACACAGGAAAGAGAATTCTTAAATAAATTCTTTTTATTTTAAGGATGATATTTTGTCTTAAAAATATATTAATTTTTGTAAATATGTACGAAATGTATACAACATTTTTACGTATATATATATATATATATATATATATATGTATATATATATTTATGGAATATAATCTAATATCACAGAAAATTATAGATTCATCACATGGACAATTCTCGACGGTGGTACGTATTCTCTACAAAATGGACATTGTGGCTTGACACGAAGCCATTCACTGAGACAATTCCAACAAAACAAATGACCACATAGTGTTGCAGTTGTCGCTGTTGCTTCAAGACATAACTGACATTTGTGACTGATATACTTAGCATTGGATATATTTGCAACAGTAGTATTTTGTAATGTACTACTCTGCCAAGTTCTTAACAAACATTGAATGAGAGTAGCGATACCTAATAATCTTAATCCCCAACTGATAGTATCCACTGGTCGAGAACCATACACCTTTAAATTATATCATATAAGAATAATAATATTACAAAGTTACAAATGTCATTTCTTAAAACTTGATACTTACTTTTGTATAATCTAATCCAGCAATTCTTTTGCCTAGACTATAGTATCTGCCATATATATAAAATATCCCTTTGTGGAATAATACAATTATTGGTATCATTGTACGTAATTTAGACAATAAGGTATTGAAAAATGTTACAGCTGCTGGAGTCAACTCGCTATGTGGATGATTCACATATGCTTGAAACTGTTGCAGTAATTTGAGCAACATTCTCTCTCCGAGGCATTCCAAAATTGCAGCTAATATTCTTACCTAATGTAGGAAGAACAATCAGAATTTAATTAGATTATTAAGAGATTCTCTGTGAATGGATTTCTAACGACAAACGTACAGTTAATGTTGGAACTTTTTGCTTCTCCAAATTGACTTGTACTATGCCGGTATACTCTTCACCCAATGTCTGATTACCCATGCCCGATGTGAAAACAAAGTATAATAACTTAAGCGGAATATCGGATCGAATATATGGAAGCAATGTTCTGTGTACTCCAAAATTTTGTGATATTTCGGACAATTTTTCCTGCAGATACTTCACGAAATCGTCATCTCGTTGATGCGATCGTAATATTTCCGCTTGATTCGCGCATTTCAACTTGCGCCTAGGCCACTTTTCGTCGATTCCCATCTTTCAAGTTTATTACACGTTTGTTTCTTACACGTTTATATTGTGACGGAGTACAAGAAGCGCAGTATCAAAAAACAAAGTCATAAGTTCTGAAATCATGGTTTCGTTCAAAGTCCAACACATTCCGATTCCATATCGTTCCGGTTTGAGTATTTCCACCGTGGAAGGTAACATTAAATATACTCGCTGCTTTATCTATACTAATCACTTCTTCGATGTTTTTCACATTCAAAACAAAATAACCATACTAACCGTTGAAGAGAGAAAGGAGCGAGAAATCTGAGTGGAAAAAGTGCAAGTATGACGTAAGCACTAATTGCACATTAAAATTTTCAAGCCTCTTCTTTTTAACTGGATTCTTGCACATTCATCTTTTTATTTTTCCATTAACATTAAATTTTTCCATTTAACATTAAAGAAAAAAGGGAAAAAGACTTTCCTCAATATCGAAAACATAAATCGCGCAAGAAGTGCTAAAGGGTGCTTTCCATTCAGCGACACAAGTCGACATAAATGTCATTTCATCTTTCTTGGCATTCATTGAGTAACAAGAACAAAATAAACTTGTGTCGATGTGTTGTTATAAATTTCCACCAATGTAGATTAACATTAATTAATTTCAGTTTAATTTACTCTTTACCTTTTTTCAATTCTTAAAGCTATTACACATAAAAAAAAAAAATTTTAGTTGTAAAGATGTAAGCAAATCGACCAATCTGTCAATTATTTTTTGGACCAACGGGAGAATAGATGAACTCTAATTGGTCAATTTACAATTACGATTAAAATTTTTTCACGTGCAATGAGAAATAAAATAAGATAAAAAGCAAATTATAAAATAAAATCGAAAAGAATAAAATTAATTTACATTGATGGAAATAGACATAGATGGAAAGCATCCAAAAAGAGTAGGCCTAAGGCCCAATATCCACAGTCCATCGTTATATTTAAGATCATAAGTCTTAAGTCAGGTCTCAGGTTGTCTTAAGATCCTGCTAAGCCAACGAAGTGACCGTATTACATCTTGCATGCTATTCATGCTTAAAATGATCTTAAATATAAGAACTGACTATAAATATCGGCCTAAGAGTCTCCATTATGATCTGTCGGTAAAACAGAGAGCGGCGGCCGATTCGCCTAATCGACTACGTCAACGGCAATGGCGGTGCGTATCCACGGATAGAGGGCACGGCGGCGGCGAGCGGCGAAGAGGCATCGCCCTAGATAACGGTAGAATCACGCAGTGGTATCGCGTTGTCTTCTCGCGAGAGAGTGTGAAAATCTAGGCGGCGGGGGTACAGGAAGGGCAGGCGGCGGCAGGAAGAAGAGAAGAGAGAGATAGAGAGAGAGAGGCGCGTCCGTCCGCGTACAGCGTCGTCGTGTCATCGCCGTCATCGCGTCATCGTCATCGTCGTCATAGTCTTCTTCGAGGCTCGCGTTGCCCTCGTGCAAAACCTACGAACGAGAGTGTGTGCGCGGCTACGGATCGATCGGTACGCACGGTGCCGATATCAGGCGCGCCGTGTGTGTGTGTGTGTGTGTGTGTGTGTATGTGTGTGTGTGTGCGAGCTACCTCGAGGTGAGACGAAGACGCGTCGCATCGAGAGAGAACCGGGTGTCGCATTTGTTAACGCTGCGACGCGAGTACCGAGCAGTACCGATCCTCGGCGGCTAGAATCGGCGTTAACCAAGCTGGCTAGTTGGCTAACGGAGCGATAGTCGATCGACAGTAAGAACGAATAACGCACAACCTATCCTCGGTTCTCCTCATGGACTCGTGACAGTAGTGCGGCGACGGAGAAGCTCAGTAGAGTAAGAGAGAGTAAGAGAGAGAGAGAGAGAGAGAGACAGACAGACAGAGTGCGCGGGTGGGCCAGGTAGCGCTACTAATTGCCGAGATCTCTCAGTCGCGTGGCGACGAGGAAGAGGCGGACGAGAGGCGCGTGTGAGACGAGGGGACAACGAGGAACGCGAGGAGGAAAGAGAGAAGAGCGTACAGGCTTGCCTCTGCGTGCGTGTGTCGATGTGTGTGCGCGCCTGAGAGCCGCCGAGCCGACTTGCGCGAGCGATAGAGACAGACCGAAAGATATAGAAACGGAGAGAAAGAGAACAGAGGAGAGAAGAATTGTCGAGTGAACCCGAAAGATATTGTGTTTTCTGCGAGCGAGGAGCGTGGGGCATTCAGGAGGCACGAGAGGTAAGGATACGACACGGGATGTGAGCGCGGCTTCTAAAAAAAAGAATTCCTCTTCCTCCCCTCCTCTTCCCTCTGGCGAGAAGGCGCCGTGCTCGCGCGTACGCCGTGGCGTGGCACGCCGAACCGACCGGAAATCGTTCACGACGGCAGCGACGGCAGCGGCCGCCTGCGCCTTCGCGGGGTATCAAAATCGGTATGCTAATTTCGGATTCGTCTCTTTTTCTCTCCCCTCTCCTCCCCCTCCTCCTTTCTTCCTCTTCTCGGTACCGCGAGCGTGTGGAAATGCCGGGATCGCGCTCGTTTCGGAATCTGTGGAAGTGCGCAGACGAAGTCCGTGGAATCGGTTTCGTGTGTCTACGTCACCGGCGGAATCGGTACGACCGAGCGTCACGCCGCCGTGCCGCGCCGGTCTGGTCGCCGGTCGCGCCGGATCTGTCGTTTTTCTCGCTCTCGGCTCTCGCGAGTTGGCTTCGAGGAGGGAAACCTCGAGGGGAACGGGCGTTGCTTCTCCCTTTCGCGCGCGTTATCTCCTCGTAATTTTTCCCAAGTATGTGAGAGCGA